TGAAGAAGGCAGTGAGGAATTTGAGGTCGTTGTTGTAAAGCATGGCTCACTGCAATACTTGCTACTAGAAAATTAAAATAGAGCTTGACATTTGAACAAAAGTCTCCAGGAGTGAATAGAGCTTTCTTCCTCTGGAAAAAAAAAAATCTACCTAAGCAGTGATGAATTTCCTTGTCATTACATTTTAACAGAATGAGAGCACATTCAAACTATAGGGGTCTTCAGGGAGCCACTGGGGGTTTCTTGTTTTCTGGCATCCTGCCCACGGCGGGGATGTAGGTGAGTTACTTTAGTCTGTGTCTGTTTCTAAGAAGGGACCTTCTTTACCCACAGGTCTTGGCCCACTTCAGCCTGTGGCTCTTCTTAGCAAGCAAATGCTGACTGATAACTCTAGGATTAAATGCCATTTAATCTCCTACTATGCCAAAGATTCTCCTAGTATGACTCATTCTTCCTGACTAGGGTTTACTTTCTGTGGTGCCATGGAAAGTTCTAGAATCTCTCTGAGCCTCAGCCTCATCCATGGAGAACAGCTAGATGCGAAAAGACTAAGACAACCTGAGCGTCACCCCTCAAACGTGCCTAGTTGTGTCTGTGATTCTCTTACCGCATCTTTATGTGGATTTAATACATTGATATTTATAAAGCCCTCAGCCCACTGGGCTGACACATGGCAAGGTTTGTAAACCTTGTTTACAAATAAAACTAATCTTTTAAACTCTGTTGTAATGTAGATACCAGACCCCAGGGAGTTTGCCTCCAGAGTCAAAAGCCTGGTCTTCTGTGACTGAGACCATAAGTCAAGAAGCACCAGTGCCCTGGTTTCCAAGAGACCCATTGGGTGCCTGCTCTGTGCATCCTACTAGGCACCCAGTGAGCACAGGCAGGGGTGCAGGGGTTGGCGGCTCTGAGAGCAGGGAGGGGAGCTTAGCAAGCCCTTACCCAGGCATTCTAGGGCCATCACTGCGTGGGCATGGAGATTGCTTGTCTGGCGTCTTTGTCCACTGGAGTGGCTAACGCAGAGGCCCTAGCCTGGAGGCTAGTGCACAGCAGGCGGACGTCTACGCCTCACAGCACTGGAGGCTGCGAAAGTGAAGATCCAGGCACCTGGAGACCCAAAGTCTGGGGAGCGTCACCTCCTGAATCCGGATGGCAGCCTCCTGCATCCTCCTGTGGGGGAGCCAAGAGCGCCCTCTGGGTTCTCCTTGAAGGGCACTCACCCCATTCATGGAGGCCCCACCCTCAGCACCTAGTCACCTCCCAAAGGCCCCACCTCCAAATGCCATCCCTTTGCGGGTTGGAATCTTAACCTGCATTTTGCTGGGACACAAACAGTCCATAATGGCACCGCTACCCTTTCTTTTCCCTAGTGCCCCTACTTCTGATGGTTTGACTCACAATTTTTTGACTCTGCAATGGTGTGAAATGTGCATTCAGGAGAAACCGTGCTTTGAATGTTGATCTTTTCTGGGGCTAGTGCTATGCGGAATGCTACCTTCCCGCCACGCCGGGCAGCAGCAGCGAGCCTCAGCTGCCAGGCAGCCCGTGGTCACGAGGGCAGCAAACTCCTATCACCTATTCTCGAGCCTCATCATAAGAGAAGGAGAAATTGATGACCCTGTCACCGTAGCCTCCCATCACCCAGCAATTACTTTTAGTTCAATGCTTCAAGCCTTGTTCAGGTTCCGCGTGCTTTCGGCTGCGATGAGACCGTACTGCCACCCTGCTTTTCACTTTCCAGGACAGAATTCAAGAAATTATGCGAGACATTGCACACTGTGTGATAAATAGAGTTTGTGGCCAATGATTTTACTCAACTGCAGGCTAACAGAAGTCTTCTCTGTGCCCTTCAGGTCAGCTGGGCAAGCTGTGACGTTCCATAGTTAGGTGGAGCAAATGCGTTTTCAACCGACGATGGGTTTATCAGGATGTGGCCCCTTGGGGAGTGAAGGGAGATCTGTAGGTACTGTGGGGAGCTGCCCATGCCAGAGGATGCAGTGCTGGTGGGACTGCCCATCGGGCTCTGCCAGCCGGTCATTCAGGGGTTCCCTGGGACCGGGAGACGTGTGGTTTTCTCGGGACAACTAATGTTGTCCCTGATGATTCTTAATGTGGAAGATGAGTTGGAAGGTTGGCATCAGTGATACCATCACATGGAGGGCAGAACAAAGTGGGAGGCAGTAAAATGAGCAAGGAAACAATGGGGTATAGACAACCAGGGTGAGTGGCATTTGGCGAAACTCTTTGAGGGGGTCATTTCTGCGTGTGTGCGCCTTCAATGGCAAGTGCACTTACTAAGGCATTTCTTATTATGGTCTCAGCCAAATAAAACCCTGAGGTATATTTTCCCAATATGCTTAATAATGCGAATGCCCTAGGAATGCAGGTTCCTAGGCCATTTGGACTGTGTCTGTTTGGCGTGGGCTGGGAATTTCCTGCCTTCTTCCTCCTTTTCTTACCTTACATAGCAGGTACTCGTGGCATGTGTGGGTGGGGGGCAGGCCCCCAAAGGAACCCAGCTATACTGTTGAGGAAAACAGCTGGCAGAGCAGGCCAAATGCTCAGTAACGTCAGCAGGCAGGATGAGAAGGCTGCAAAACCCAGATGCAGCAAACACCAGAGGGGGCAGGAGTGAGGAAGGAGCTTGTGAGCATGCCTCCGACCTGACATGCAGTTCTGCCCCTTCTCCAGACCCAGCGCTCACTCTTTCTTCCAACTCAGTTCCTGAACTGCCCCAGGGCCCTTTGCACCCACGTCTTTCATACCTACCGGCCTCCAGGTACAGCCATGGAAACCGAGACCCGCACCCCCGCAGCTGGGCCCTGTCCCTCTGGCCCAGGTCACTGGGATGCCTGCACTTCCCAGCAGCCTCCACTGCTCTGCCTCCTCAGCTCTGGGCCTTGCCCTTTGACCTTTACAGCCTCTGTCAGTCTCCATGGTAACAGAAAATTCCACAGGTAGCAGGCAGAGAAGGAAGGCCTTGTCTGGACTTGGTGACCTCCCAGAAGAGTCGCAAGGCTCAGTGGGCCAAACTGTTGGGGAGAAACCCGACTCCTCACCTCCTTCCATGCTCCCCTAGATGCAGGCTTATCCAAACACTGGGGTGAGGGCTGTGCAAGTCTCTGGGGAGACACGGGGCCTCCCGCGGGACACAGCTGTTCTCCATCACCAGGTCAAACCCCTGCTCAGCACAGCCCAGAAACCTCCGCCCTGTCCCTCTCCGGCAGGAGCAATCAGTATCTCCGTCGACGGGGGCCTGAGTGGGAAGCCAGACAGGCCTGCTCCTGCCCAGAGGGCCCAGTTGTCCTTTGGGGGCAGCTCAGAGTGGAGGGGAGGCTTGGGGGAGCCCTCCGCAGCCACCATGTGCCCTGACCAAAAGGCTGTTGGCTTCACTGCGGGGACAGCCACAGCCCCCAGCCCCCAGGGGCCGGCCCATGTCAGTGTGGGGGCACCCAGTTGGACTCTGGCCCCAGCTGCCGAGGCAGACGCACCCCCTTAGGACATCCCCGGGGGCCCCCAGGCCTTTTGCCTGTTGTTACAAAGAAGCGGAGAAGTCTCAGTTACCTGCCGATCTCGGTCCCCTCTCGCGCCGCCTGGGGTGCTGTCTGGACTCCTGCTGTTTCCGTGGTCCCCGCAAATACCAGAGCAGACCGCGGCCACGCGGCTGCCACTTCCCTCTGCCTGGCCTGCCCCCGCGTCCCCTGCTGGTGCTGCAGGGAGGGCTTCCCTCGAGCCAGGACCTGAGAGACCGCGTGACTCAGCATTTCTGTTTCATTGCTTTATGCATTCGTTATTTAAGTACTTCATGGATTTTTGGCCACCGTACCCTTTGTTGGAACAAAATTCCGCACCGAGTCCTGAAATGTGAAACATGTACAATTGGGTCAGAGAGCCCGAAGCCCCCTGGGGTACCCCTCCTCGCATCACACGCCCGGAACACTTCCCAGAAGCCCGGTTTGGAAAATCCCCATCTCCTCAAACAGCCTCCTGCTGGCCCTGTGTGAGCACCAAGACTGTAGAAAATAGTGGATTAATTAGGTCAATGCAAAAAGCCAAAAACCACTTAGTAGATAGGGGAACCCATAAGGGGGTCCCGGCAGAGCTGGGGAGTGGGTCATCTGCCTCCCCGAGGAGCTCCCTGTGCACCCCGAGAGCCTAGAAACCCCAGGAGAGGGATGGAAATGACACCCTATGGCACGTTTATCCCCAGGTGCTCTAATGCCTGTCGTGGGCTTTGGTACTTTTACTGAACTGGCAAGTTCCATCTGGCCCACCTGAGGCAAGGACGGGGGGTCTGCTGTTGACCTCCCCACAGCCTCGGCCCCACCCCCAAAAGGGTTCCTGGTCACTGAGTTAGGGATGCGCTGGGCTTCATCTGAGCCAAAAAGCCACTTGGAAGGGCTGGGTCCCAAGGGTCACTGCAAGAAAGGTGAGTGGGGAAGAGGCCTGGGTGGGGAGGGACAGAGGAGTGAACTAGCTGTGCACCCCAGGGGAGGTGCTTAACTTCTCCGGGCCTTCCTTTTCTTAGTGAGGTTGACAGCAGCAGGGAACACCCCGCAGCACCCATGGGAGGGACACACGAGGCCCGTCCTAGAAGGGTCATCTTTATAGAGCCCAGGAAATGCTCGCTGTTGTTGTTGCTGCTATCTCAGACCTGGTGACCCTCCCCCCCAGCTCCCCTCAAAGCTGGCCAAGGGGCATCAGCATTTAACTACACTTGGGTACTATCTTCTGACCTTCAGGTAGAATTTCTAGAAAATTCACAAGCAAGTGCAAGTGCCATTTGTCATTTGAATCTCACCCTGGTCTCAAGCAGGGATGTTTGAAGATACATTTCAGATACAAGGCTGGGGAATTTCAAGGAGCTTGTCCGAAGTCACACAGCTGGGGGGCGGGGGAGGCAGGATTAAAACTGGGGGGGTTGCTCCTCTTGTTTTTTTAGGGTTTTTTTTTTTTGATGTTTTGTTTCTTTTCCATTTTGTATATTCAGGGAACACCAGCTCCAGTCAGAACAGTGGCTGCTGTTGAATGGTAAGTGAAAGCTCAGTGTGGGGCAATGTGGCAGCTCAGGCTGGCATACAAGGGGGTTGGGGACAGAGCAGCCTGAGGACACCCTGCTGGGGGCCTCATGGGGAAGAAGGAGAGGCCTGACCACTTGTTCATAATTCTAGTGAACTCCCAGATCTGGGATGGAGACCCTGTTTATTGTAACCCAGCGCAGGACCCCTTCATCTCTCTTAATACTCTCATTCCCAGCATGGAGTATTATGCCACACAGTTTTCTTTATAAAATACTGGAGCTTTGCCATATGTCCTTGCAGTGCCCATGTATTCAATGTTCTGTAGACTTTACAAGATGGTGAGAGCCACAAGCACAAATAAGAACCCCCAATAACCTCACTGATCAAACTTGAAAATTCTTACAATTTTGGTTGGAAAGACTTTTTCAGTGCCCCATAGAAGCTCTTGAGAAGAGAGGAAAAGCGTCTTTGTTGAGCCCAAGTAATCTGATTGTACTGGATGGTGAGTCACCCCACCCTTTGGACAGAAGAGGCAGGGCATCTCCGAGGCCACAGGTGCGGTGTGCAGGGCCACCGCGCCCCTTGTGAGTGAGGATGTTTGTTTGAACCCTGGTCTCTCTGAGAAGCCCCTGAGGTTTCCATGATACCATGTAATCCCTGTGGGGCCCTGGACATTGACAAAAGAATTAACAAAGGGGATTTGGTGCACCTCCCTCCTCCTGACCCTTGCGCTCCAGCTTAGAGCTATGCCGGGCACAAGAAGCATCTCAGAGGAGCTAGCTAGATTGTGCTGCAGATGCCTCCTCCTGCAAGAGGAGAAAGAAAGAAAACCCCCAGCATTGTTTCTGTGCATCTCTTGCCCACGCCCACTGGCATGGCCTCTGGGTCTCCCCAAGGGGGCAGCTGTCAGATTTCTCGTGCCCACCTGAATGACACACCCGCCTACAGCTGCCAACATGACAGTTCCCCAGGAATCCTCGTGTAACAGCCCAGTCTTTGCAAAGTGTAGAAAAGCATCTCTCCCCAGCTCAGCCCCTGCAGATGGACTCATTTTCCAGCTCTCCCTGCCAATGGCGACTCTATGCTTGATTAGGGTAATGAGGCTTATGCAGGCTTCCTCTGTCCCTCCCCGTCTCCCTGGCTTGGAAAGTTAGCCCACTGTCTATCAATACTGTCTGGCACCAGAAGAAAGCCCCTCTCCCTTCCTGCACCCAGCATCTGGTTGCCTGGAAACCAGGACAGAAGCCTAGAGCATCTTGGGTTTCTTTTTAACTCCCCTGCCAGGCCCCGAAAGCAAGCAGTGTTTGTTTTAAGCAGAACCTTTGCCCTGTGGAGACTTGCCATAACCTTGCCCAGAATGATTTCATCAACCTGCGTAAGTGTGATGCAGAGAGACAGGGACAGCCACTGCTGGCTCGGTGTCATTCGGTTATCAGTGCACAGAGTCATGATTAACACTGGAAGCTGAAGATGGATAGTTTCAGAGGGAGCCAGGACAAGGATCAACCCGCACGCGTGTGCCTGTGTGTGCGTGCGTGTGTGTGTGTGTGTGTGCCCGTGCACATGTGTTGAAATTGGCAGCCTTGTGAATTACAGCTTGCTGTAGGCACATGCAAAAAGCAAGAGAGAGTTTTCTTCTTCCAAAAGAACAAAAGCCCATCTTGAAAATGACTGTCTATAAAAAGCCACTCAGTTCGGGGTAAGGGTTCCATGGCTTGGCTTGACTCCCCCAGCTGTGCTTCAGCAGGAATGTGAATCATCTTCAGATAGAGCCCTGGGAGTGGCCAGGATTTAAAAAGTCACAAATGGGAGCTCCCCACCAACCCCCGACTCCAGAGTTTAACTGGAGCTTGTCCCAACCGGAGTCAGGATGAAGCCTGGCCCCTGCCACTTCTCCTGTGACCTGGCTCACCTCCTGGGAGGTGTGTGTTCCCAAGGCCGCAAGGCCTGTCACTGTTGTGGGAGGGAATGGATCTTCTCTCTTGTCAAGGGTGCCCGTGTTCCCCATATAGGAAATTGTTTAAGAAACCACCTAATCGGAAGCTATTTACCAGGGATGGTGGGTCACACATCTTGCTCCTTAGTGCACCTGGCCACTGTACGTGCCCCCCATCTTACAGGTGAGGGGGAGGAACTCACAGCTTGTGGGCAGTGCAGCCAACACCTCAGAAGTCACCATGCAGAACAAGGCTCTCTCTGGCATCCCGAAGCTCAGGTTCTTTCAAGGAGATAGTCTTTGTCTCTGTTTTGGTGGGTCTGGCTGTTCAGAGGGGTCTTCCTCTAAAGTGATTTTCCTCCTTGCTTTGAAGAATAATTGAGAAACAAAACATTTTGGAGACAGGGACACCGAGACTTTGCTCTCCTAGACAGGCAGAGAGGTTAGCAGCACGTCACCCACCTGCGGCCTCGGAGCCAGCTGCCTTGGGTTCCAACCCTACCCCCTCCAATTTCTTGCCAGTAGAACTTGGAGCACATTGTTAACCATTCCAAGCCCAGGGTCAAGTCTGTGCAGTTAGGGGTGCTAGCAAGTCTGAGTTATTGTAAAAAACATTAAGAATTTAACATGAAAAGTGTTGAGCCTGCCGTCAAACAAATAAGGACTCAAAAGGGGCTGCTGATAATATGGTCATGATTGACTTGGAGGTAGAGGGGCTGCAGGAGAAATCAGGAACCAGAAATCCCTGTGCCTAAGCGAGGCGCTCAGAGGAGTCTTTCCTGGGAGGGAGAGGGTTGTATCACCAGCGTCTCCTGATCCTATGTTCTTTACAATGTTCAAGTCTTTGAAGTAGTTCTGACCGATGCCCTCCACTCCGGGAGGATCCTGTAGGCAGAAATTCCTAGTCCGTGTTGAAGGCACAGCCCTCTAGATTTTAATGAGAGAATAAAAGTAGGGGGAAAATCAACCTCAGGCTCCTCAAAGGGAAAAGAGTATTTGCTTCTCACCCGAGGCAGCAGGAGAAGCTGGGCTGGGCTCCGAGCCGGGATGCTGTCACTGCTAGGGCTGAGTCCTGCTCCTTCCTGCGTCCAAAACAAACCTTTCACATCTTGAACCATTTTTTATCTTGGTAGCTGTTATTGTCCACTGTGCAAACACTAGTGACCCCAGAGTGGCTCAGCAGGGCGTTCTGATGAAGGGGTGCAGCACACCTGGAACAGACCTCCTCACTGAGGGGGAGTTTCTGGCCTCGCGTGCCCCTGGGCAATGCGGTCAGCAGGAGCCCTGCTCCTCCATCCTCTAGCTTCACACCGCAGGGAATTTATACCTCTGTGCTTGGGACTGAATCAGTATCCTCAGGCTGTGAAATCTCCAGTGTCCTGGCCTGGCCTCTCTCCACCAGGCCCCCCACCCCCTCACACCCCTCACACCGCTCTGCCTGCTACGCACAGCCCCTGCTCTGTCTCCAGAGCCAGCAGAACAATACCTCTTCTTGCCTCTGTCCTCACTAATTCTCCCTTCTCTTCCTCGCCATAACCTCCCCCAAACAAACCCAGCTCAGTGCTTTGCTAGGAGGATAAAGATGTTTCCCTTCCAGGAGAGGGATTTGCATTTTAAGGCACGTTTCCTGGATCCTGGAAGACCAGTGGAGGCACCTAAAGGATCGAGCCTAACTGCGAGCCCTGGGTGCCCGGGCTAACATCTGGGCTCGTCATTCTAAACATATGGTCTATTTCAAATCTGTCACCCACCAGCCGGCTCCCCGTCCCTGCCAGCTTTACCGCAGCCGCACACTTAGCACCTTCGCTGCTGCATCAATTTACCATTCTTCAAACTAGAAGCAGTTGTCTGCTGCCAAGGGTCGGGTGGGAAAGGGTGAGAAGGGGTGGGAGAGGGGGAGGGGATGCTGCAGTGGATGCTGATGACCCTGAGGGCTCCGTGGGCCTCCTGTGTGAGTTCCCAGCAGGCCTGTGAAGGGCACAGCTCCCACCCACAGATGAGAACAGTGACAGCCCAGACTTCATGTCCAAAGTCGCACTTCCATAAGAGAAGCCAAAATCTGAACTCAGGTTCACTCACGTGCTATTAGCCAGAACACTGCACTTCTGAGTGGAGCAGGAGACCCCAGATCTCTTCCCAGCTACCAGCAGCCACGCTGGTAACTACAACCAGCAGCGTCCACTAAGCAGTGATTATGCACCAGGCGGTGGACTTTTCCTGCATTTGTCTTGGATCGCCCCAAGAAGCTACTGTGGGAGGCTCTAGCCTGAGCCCGTGGGGCCACGAGGAGCAGAGAGCAACCTGGTGTGTCCCCACCGCGGGCCACGGGACGCTGCGTTCACAGCCGCTGCCTCCTACCGCTTTGCAGTTGACTCGCCTAGGCTTTGGCAAGTCCCTTAACCTCTGGAAGGGAAGGGCCTTTTCTGGTCTGACAAATGAAGTCGTTGGCCTGGAAAATGGCTAAGGTGCCTCCCTGGGCCCCCTACGACTCCCCCATGATGGGATCAGGAAGTGGAGCCAGTCTGGCCGGCCTCCCATCTGCACACCCCGGGTTTATTTACGCTCCGTGTCTCTGGCGACAACCACTAGACCATATGGGCCGCCCTGGCATAGCCAGGCTCAGGGACAGCCCCGGGAGCCCAGGTTCCGGTGCCCCCGTAGGAGGGAGTCTGATCCCTGTGTTGCTGGTCTGTGAGAGGCTGCAGCCCTGGCTGCAGCCTGAGCAGGCGCTGGGGGCACAGACAGCCCCATGGGGCAGAATCTCTCTGGCTGCCTTATTGCTTTATTATCTCTCAAGCTGCAAACCAGACTTGGCTGCGATCTGTTCCCTCGCCAGCGCGCAGGGGCCCAGCCCCAGCCAGAGAGCAAAGCATGCTTGTCCTCGCCTTCCTCAGCCACTGTCAGTGCTGACACCCAGACTTCACGAATCACAGAGGCCCTTCTCTTCCGGGACCCCGGTTTTACCAACAGTGCTGCGCTAGTGCAGTGAGATGGGGCGTCAGGAAAGACAGTGGAAAGTCTAATGCGTGAGCTCACGCTCACCACCTTGTTCCTGGTCATTGCCATTGTTGCTTTCTGGAGGAAAGGCTCCCTGAGCACCCTGACCTGACAGCTCTCAGCTTTAAGCTGCAAGCCCCCTTGGGTAGTGCTTAACAGATTGCTTGTGGGCCACGTGTTGGCCGCCCCCAGATCCCGAGCGGGGCAAGCGGCCCTGCCTTGACAGCACTGTACACAGATGGAGCTGGCTTCTGAGCCCACAGCAGGCCCGAGAGCACAATGTGACAGCGTCACACAGGGACTGCTTGCGTGTTCACTGGGCTAAAGGAAGCGGCTTTCTCGTGTCCAAATCCTTCAGCAGTACCTGGAAGACCTCCTGGAAACTGGTTTCAAAGACTTGGGCCCATACCAACAATCCCAGTTTTTAAAAGGCTACAAATCCCAGGAAAGTTGTTTTCCTTTCTCTTTGCAGAGAGGTTTTCCACCTTGCAGCCCCGCCGTTGAGGAGAAAGGCAGAAAGACGAGAAAGGAGAGAGAAAACACTGTCAGGTATGAAGAGGGGCCCAGACTGGACGCTGGGTGGGCTGGGTTGTATTTTGGGTGGGAGCAGCTTTTCTCCTCCTCCAGAGCTTGTGGTTCACCCCGAGGGGTGCTGGGCCACCATGCTGGGGTCCCTTCTTGACCCCATCCAGCACACAGGCACGGGATAAAACATCCCCTGGGCTGCGACTGCACTGATTATCCCTAGTGCGCTGGGGATTGCAGCAACCTGGTCGCTGCAGCCTCTCTTATGCGTTCCAGAAACTCCACCCCCACCCCTGCTGTGGGCCCAGGTTTGCTGACGATGCTGAGATTAGCGCCCTTTGCTTACACTAATTCCAGGTTTGTGCTAGCTCATGCAAGGGCTGCGCCGCGTGCGGGCTGCGAGGCTGTCTCCAATGACGGTTCCTGGGAACCACTTGTCATGGCTGCCTCTGAGCTTCTGTGCATGCTGGGCCAGGAGGTCAGCGAGGAAGAGGATAAAGAGATCAAGGAGGAGGAGCAGCAGGAGGAAGAGACAGAGCCTGGTGGCCGAACCTGCAAAGACACAAGGCCCACAACTAGCCCAAGGGGCAAATCCGTGGACCACCAGCCAGGAAGACTTGAGCGGGCTGGAGCAGAGCCACAGGGGGAATAAAAATGATGGGCCGGTTGAGGTATAGGGTGAGGATTAGCAGGCAAGACGGATTAGGCCTTTGCCCATGAAATGATGGAGACTCAGGGAATGTGGATTTAAGCCCATGAATGTATGAAGGGGCCGTATACTGTGCGCAAGGGCTAGAAATATCTACAGGAAGGAGCAGCCCCTGAACCTGGAGAGAGGTGTGCTGCGGGGCTGTGCATTCACACAGTTGCCTCTGTGCCGAGCATGTGTGGGGGCTCGGACATGCCCCAAAGAAACAATGAAGTCCTCGCTGCTGGGGGGACCTGGCCCATGACAGGAGGCATGGCGAGGAATGTCCTGTGCAAGCAAACAGGCCCACAGTGACATCCTTCCTTCCTGCAGCACCTTGAGCCTGGTGCCGTGATAGCGTAGGGCCAGCAGGGTGGAAGGATGCAGCCCCTTCGCTCAAGGAGTCAGCGGACAGTCCAGCACATCACCACCACTGTCACAGGGGTGTCGCATAGGACACAGTGGGCAGACAGAGGGGGAGGGTCTCAGTGGCTCCAGAGATCAGAGAGAGGGAGAGTCATGGGTGCTTTACCAGATGGACAAATGAGGCGGCTTGTTACATGACAGCATGACCGCCATGTATTTTTCACTCATGATGGGCCAGGCACCATGTTGGCATTATAATAGTATAATATAACAGCAGTGTAGTTGTGTAGTGCGCTTAGTGTACAGTGTAGTCCAGTAAAGATAGTGTAATGTGGTACTATACAGCGTCGTGTAGTATAGTGTAGCATAGTGTAGTCTAGTGCAATACAGTGTCGTGTAGCGCGTGTTATTATACAGTATGATAGGGTATAATAGAGATTACTGTATAGTACAGTACACAGTACAGTGTAGTGTAGAGCACGTTATAGCACAGTGTGATGGTGTAGCGTAGTAGAGTGTTTTATAGCAAGTGTCTTCGAGTATAATAGCATATACCATGGTACACAGTGCAGTGTAGTAGAGTGCTAGAGTACAGTGTAGTGCAGTATGGTATAATAAGAGTAGTATAGGACAGCTTGCCTCAGTAAAGTGTAATTCTGCATAGTATAATACAGCATAGTATAATATGACAGATGGCATAATGCAGTGTACTATAATATAGTACAGTATGCCATAGCATAGCATGGTCTAGTAGGTGGTATATGTAATATGTAATAAAAAATAATGTAGTATAGTATAGCAGGTGGTATAATGTATAGTATCGTAGTGGCCTATTACATATTGCACAGTGCCATATGCTGTAGTATAGCATAGCGCAGTGGGTGGCATAATGTAGCGCAGTGCAGTGTGCTGCTGTGAAGTACAGTGTGGCATAGTATAACATAGGAGGTGGTGTGATGTAGTATAGTAGGGTGGCGGCATACTATGTGTAGCATCGTGCAATATGCTGTAGTGGGGCATAATGTAGTATGGCATAGCATAATGGGTGGCATAACGTAGTGCAGTGCAGTGCAGAGCAGTGCAGTGTGCTGCAGTATGGTGCAGAACAGCGTAGTATGCCCTGGTAGGTGGTATAAGGTAGTACCGCGCAGTGAGTACAGCACCCACATTCCCAGTGTTCAGCGGCGCCCCCAGCAGGCCAGCTTTGCAACGCTCTTCCTCACCTGCGCTCAACGTGGCTGAAAGCAGCATCCAGGCCTCCGGTAGCTCAGATTCCATTCTCGCAGAGAGAAGGTCAACCATCTGCTGCCTCACCGTTAACCACCGTAGTGGGCGGTGGGTGTGGGGTGGGGGCCTAGGGGTTAGGGTCCGCTGCCAGGTTTTGCTTCCCTCCCGCCTTGAGTCTTGGACAATGGCACATTTTTGCTACTGGCTTCTCCCTGGGGTTGACAAGCAAAGAAGACAGAGCTCTCAGGAAATGAAACATGGTGAGCAGAAGCAATTTTCCTTGTGGGCTCCAGCCCCAGAAGGAGTGTCAGTCTTTGCTATGGGGGCAGCTCCCTCATCTCTCCTGTTCTTAATTTATCCTCGCTGATCTGCCTGAGTGCAGTTTAAGTTGATGGAAAAGCAGAGCAGGAGCAGGGGCCAGAGGACTGAGATGCTGACAGCGAGCAGCGGCAGACAGGGAGGTGCTCGTGCCTGCTCCTGCAGGCAGTGGTGCTACCTGGAAAGTTCCGTGCTGAGAAGGACAGCTGGCAGCGTGGCAGGGGAGAGGACTTCACCAGGGATCCCCTGGGAAAATGGGACTTGGTCTCCCTCCCACCGCCCTGATCATCCCTCATTCCACAGGCAGGAAAATTCTGGAAATGGGTCTGTAGTGGAAGGGAGAGGAGCAGCAGACAGTGATGGTCTAAAGTGATCATCTCTCATCATATTTGAACAGATTTGGACTTTTCTTTGAAACTGGGCTGGTTTCTAACTCCGCCTCATTGCCTGCGAGCAAGATGGGAAGTGAGGCGGACTAGACAACACGGGAGCACGGACACTCGGCATCCTGCTGCAGGTCCTTCGCAGCTCTCACTGGACTTGCTCCATCCTGGCCCCACCCTCCGCTGCACCCCCTCAAATCCTTACCCGCATGCGTCCCCGGTGGGAGTGCTCCGAAGGGCCCCCGTGACAGTGTGACTCAGACCCCTCTGCCTCCCCACTGAGTCGAGAGCTTGCACCTGGCCCCTCAGCTCCCGTAGACCCAGCCATTCTGGCCTCCAGTGAAGCTTCTCTGCTGCCTCTCTCTCACCTCGAGACCCTTCTAGCAAAATGCAACTGCGTGGACTGCCTGCCTCTGCCCCCTGGCTTTGCTCTGGCTTCAGCTCACACAGGCCTTCAGCCCTGAAGAGCTTGCTGTGCAAACAAAGGGGACTGGCATAGCATACAAAGACTGCTGATATGGAGCGTGGAGGACACCGGTAGAGAGTGCCAGGGAGGGAGCATGGCGTATATCAACAACCCAGTCTCTCCTCCAGGACTTGACTTAAGAGGACTCTTCCCCTGAGAGGCTCCTGAGCCCCGGCCCTGCCTCCTCACCCCAGGCTTGAGGGGGAGTCTGCCTCTGCCGGCCTGGTCCTCCCTTCACACCCCTCAGCACTGGCCCTTGACATGCGGCTACTGGTCCAGGACAGGGACGCAGCCAGCGAGGGAGCATGAGCACTCACAGAGGGGTGGTGTTTCACCCCCAAATTATAGGGCTATGCAAGCAACTGATGAATTAATAAAATTCAAGGGGAAAAGAAACATAGCCTATAGGGTTTTCCATGGAGTCTGGGAAGCAATATTTACAGAGGAAGACAAGGAAGGAGATGGAGCAGGGGTTGGGGGAGCAGTGAAGCCTCACCCCGCTGATCTAGTGTTGTGAACCCGTGATCCGCCAGCCAAGCTTTACTAAAAAGTAAAGAAAGGAAGCAAAAGTGAGGGAAGCAAGGAAGAAAGAAGGAAGAGAAAGGAGAAAAGGAGTAGGAAGGCAGGAAGGGAGAGCCAGAGGACGCTTTCAGCTCCCTGCTGGCCCCTTCCTCACAACAGGAATTGCCCTCATGAGTCCCATCGCCCCTCGGCTAAGCTCACCAGGGATTCCCGCCCCCTCAAAGTGCAAGGTCCTTTGCTGACTGGCCAGGCCTGGCCTGAGCGGGACCCATCTCTCTGAGTTTCTCTCCCACCGCCCCACCTACGCTCCAGGCCTGCTGGCCTCCTGCCGCGTCCACACCCTGCAGTCTCTGCGGAATGAAAGTTCTCCCAAGGGCACAGAAGCTGCTTCTTGAGGACAACAGCTCTCCCTCTTTCTATCTGTAAGATGCACACACATGCACAGTACATAAGCATGTGCAGCATAGCTATGGTTTTAGAATTATATGAAGCAGTTATTAGGAAAATAATATACCAAAAAAATACTCCTTAGGAGGGTGATGATAATTTTTTGACAAGGTGGAGACTTTGCCTAAATCATGCTGGAAACAAACTGCCCCAGGGCCTTTGCACTTGCTGTTTCCGTGCTTGGAAGCTGCTCCCCCCTGATGCTTACCTGGCTCCCTCCCTCACCTCCTCGACTTCTGTGCCCAGATGCTGTCTCCGCGGGGCTTCCTCAGCCACCCGACCTAACCAGCAGCCTGTCATCCTCCCTGTCCCGATTCACTTTGTTTACCGTCTTGCTTATTTCCTGGAAGACAAGATTTCTTTTGTTCTCTGCTATGTTTTTAGGGACCAGGATAAGCGTGGTGCAGAGGAAGTGCTCTAGAAATCTTGTCAGATGCGTGTTGAAGAGGAAGCTTAGGGCTTCGTGCTCCGGGGACTAGAAAGGTCTGTTCTCCACTGGCCAGTGGTTTCATTTTTTCCCCATTGGAATCTGTGGAAATGCCAGGAGGAAGCTCTGGTGACCCAGGGTCAGAAAGAGGAAGGGAATCTGAGACCCTGAAAACACAAGCCAACCCGCAGCCCTGGACCACTGAGAAGTAACCGGGTGTGCCCCCTGGACTGAAGGGGCGCTGCTGTGTGGGCTGCGTGGAGCACTCAGGACCCTGCAGGGCTTTGCCTGGAACGGACCTCAGAGCCGGCCAGGGAAGGTGTGCTGAAGCGGCTCCGAGCCCTGGTCCTGTGCGCAACCCCAGCAAAAGTAGGAGAACTGGGGACAGGGACAAGCGTTGGGACGATGCCACTGTCCTGCTGACAGGCTGCACTGGCCAGTTCCCCCCAGGAAACACATTCCTTGAAGCCTCACCCACTCACCAGCCGGCACCACCTGTCATCACAAAGCTCCTTTTCCTCTTCCAGTCCAACACAGGGAGGATTTGTGTGCAGGGAACTTCCCAGGAGGGACATCCCCCGGCTTTGTCATCACTTTTTTAATGAGCAAGAGTCCCCTTCTTAGCTAATATGCTCATGTGAAACTCGTCACCGGTTCTCTGCTGATTGAACATTCATCTGACGATCATTCAGGGAAATTATACACATTTATTTGGACATTGTTATTTATAGTCCTTCACAACCTAAAAAGTCAAGGTTTATCACTTAATCTTATAAAGAAAGGGGGCCAGTCTTTCCAAAGAAAATTTTTTTAAAGATTTATTTATTTATAAATCAGAAAAGCAGATTTATAAATCTGGGGTACCAAGATTTACAAGAACTGGGGTACCCACCAGAGGTGCAGGGGTGAGAGGATTCACCAGACGCAGAGTGGGGAGCAGAACAGGCAGATGGACTGAAATACACTACCAGGGGAGCAACAGGCGAGACAGGAGAGGTCTGCTGCGCCATGTGGGTCAGCATCCTGGCCAGGGATTGAACTCGTGCTGCAGAGGCTGCAGACAGCTTCACAGTGCCGTGCTTAACCCCTTGCGCCACCAGGGAGGCCCCTCCAAAGAAAATTTTGACCTGAGGTTGTCCAGTCAATGTGGAGATGCCAACTACTTAATTGAAAATTACTTAGACTTTCTAAATCCTTGTTTCTTTTTCTTCTCTTGGAATAGACTTGCTCTCAGTCCTAAGAGAAATTTGCAGAAGTGCTCTCAAGTACCATTAGCTCAGATTAGTGACTGTCCCCTACTGTCCCTTCCCCTACTGTCTTCTCTCCTCCCTCCATGCTCTGCTTTCACCTCTCTGAGTCTACTACTATTCTGTAAAATAATTTTAATTACACATTGATAGAAGTTTGTTGTGAGATAAGGAATTTGAAAGAGATGGCAACAACTCAACCACTTGATGAAGAAATGACTATTTTGAGAAATAGTTTCATGTGTAGACTTTTCAATCCCTCCCTCCCTTTCTTTGACTTTTAGTTTTTGAAAAATGAGATTGACATGAGACCAATTTTCTAGCCTCTTTTTTCCCAGTTAATAGATTGTGGAACGTTTCCTATGTCCCTGAGTGCTTTTCCACAGCATGTTTTGATGGCTGTTCAGTGTCCCTCACAGGGACAAGCTATAATTCATTAAGCCAGTCCTGTATGGTCGAGTCTTAAGGTAATCCCCCCCACCCTTTGTATTGCTATAAATATTGCTCTAAGGGATGTCCTCAAACAAAATAAATCTTTGTACAAACTTGGCTTTTTCTTAGAATAAATTCCTGGAGGTGGGGCTGTGAGTCATAAAGTAGGAAGGTTTCTCGCTCTTAGAGTTATCAGTTCTGGGAACTGGCGGCATTGCCAGCCCCCATGCCAGGGGGTCCCACTGAGTCCCTGAGCTTGCACAGGCCTCCCTGCTGCCCTGCTCCTTTGCTACTGGCCTAAATCCTGAAGACGCCCTTCCCTTCTTTGGGGAAGCCATGTCAGGGATCAGCCCGATCTGTAAACCCACATTCCCACTCGCTCTGACCTGGGGTTAGCAAAATCTGCTGGAAAAATCGTAGCCATGCCAAGTCCAGGCTAGCATTGCCATGGCGACAGACAGCGACAACCCCTGATCCACCTTCTACCCCAAATCCTCAGAAGCTCTCAGGATTCAGAAGACAGGAGGGAAAGGCTGCTTTATGGACTGGGTAGATCTGATCCAATTCCGCCCAACTGAGGGTCCCACATGGGCAAAGGGACGGCCAGCAAGGGTGCGCAAGGAGCTCATAAAAACACCACAGCTCTCTTCCACTTTTTTATTGCCTTCTTCTCTCTTTCTTTTTTTTATTTTTTTGTGGCTTCTCCCCTGCTTTCAATATAGCCTAAGTAATCCAAGATTTCCAAAAATCAATCTAAATGTGTGCCCAGGGAGCTGACAAAGAGAGGCTTTTAAAGAACAGCAACCAGATAAAAAAGACTCTTCTAGGACAACCAAGGAAGTGGGATTTTGGCCTAAGTATCAGAGGATAAACACACATACCCACATGCACGCACACACGCACACACGCGTACGCATGCACACACATGCGCACACACTATTCTGTTAGAATAATGTCCTGTGGTTACAGAGAAGCTTGGCCATAATGTTCAGAGCTGCACACTGCAGTGCTGCAGATGGAATCACCCATCTTGGATTATTTTCAGTTTAGCAAAGAAAGAGAAGATAGACAAGGTCCATGTCACAATAGGGCCAAATTTTGTTAACCCCGAGCTTCAATCGTAAGTTCAAAAATTGTATTATTCCCTGTAGTTGGAGTATATTTAAAAGTTTTCCTATCAAAAATTTTAGTAGAAGAGTGTGATGTGCTGCTCTGATTATTTCCAACAGAGCGTTGACATGGTCACGACAGGAAAACATCAGCATCTTTACATTCATTCTGTGACTGAACCTTTTCTTGGGAATTACCTGGGGAGTCGCATCTCCACTGTTCCAGGGCTCAGGGCCTAAAGAGCTGCATGGAGTCCTGGTTCCAAAGTCCCAGGAGAGGCCTCTCCCTCCCCCAATACCACCCAGGGGACAAGAGCTCCCAGGGAGGGGCCGGGGGATCAACTCTCTGGAGACCCTCGGCCTGAGCGTCCCAAACACCTGTGGAATCTAACACTCAAAAATGTATTATTCACACAGAGAGAATTTTTACTGCAGTCCACACACAGGGATCTGAAAAGTCAGGCCCCTCGCTGGAGCCCTCCTTTCTCCCTGGTTGCTAGGCAGTCCCCTGCTTGGGAGTATAATATTTACTCTATTTATTTTATTTGCTCTTGTATTTGAAGAGTCTGGGCAGTATCTAGGACGCTGGGAAGCTGGGAAGCTGCTGGGGGGGGCGGGGTGGTCAGATGCTCTAGGGAACGGTTTGGGGGGCCCTGCATCTTGGTACTAGGCTCTTCCCACCCAAGGTCAAGGTCCTGGATTGGTGCAGCAAGTGTGGGGTTCCTGTGGGAGTTTGACAATGTTCAGTGGGCCAAAATGATTCACTGTTGTCTTTGCAAAATAAGTGCTTTAAAATAAGTAGTTATAAGAGATTCAAATAGTATTACCAGAGTCTGCTCATCCGCAGCCCCTTCCCGGTGTATCTACCCCACTCAATGTGGCAGGGCCCTGCCTCAGAGCCCACAGTTCCTAACAGGCCTACAGAATAAGGTGCACGGTTATAGCACAGAGAAGCCCTGCTTCTGGTCCTCAAGAAGCTTATGAAGTTGAGGTCAGGACGGCCTGTAAGGGGTCTCTAAGGAGAGCTCTAAAGGATTTCAAATTATAGGTCAGAATCATATTTAACTACATAGATGGAAGCAAAGAGGCAACGTTTGCTTTCTCAACTTACAACACTTTGATACCAAATACGTGGGGCTTCTCCCCAGACCACAGGGTCTCTGACCCTGTGGACGCCCCCTCCCCTTAGCATCACAAAACTCAATTCTGGCACCAGGGACCTGAGTCAGCACAGATCTCACAGGTGAGGGGCCCTGACCCACAAGACTGCCCCCACTTTTGATGTCAGTTAAGCATCCCAGGTTGTCACCTAAATGGGGTTCCTATCACCCCCTCCTCAGGTTCAGTAATTTGCTATAACAACTCACAGAACTCAGGGAAACACATTATTAGAAAGGACACAACTAAGGATACAGATGAGTAGCCAAAAGAAGATAGACATGGCACAAGATTCAGAAGGTTCCAAGAACAGGAGCTCTGTCCCCATGGAGCTGGGATGTGCCACCCTCCCCACACTTAGATGTGATCACCAGCCCCGAAGCTCTCCAAACCTCAGAGTTTAAGTTTTTTTATGCAAGCCTCATTGCATGGACATGAGTATTTATTAACTCTATGTATTTATTCATTCATTCGTTCATTCATTCATTAAGCTCCTCTCCTCATGCTGAAGGGAGGAAGGGCCTGAAAGTCACAAACATCTCAACACGGTTTGGTCATTTTGCTGATCAGCTCCCAACCTGAAGTTACCTAGGAGCCTGCCAAAAGCAGCCTTATTAGAACAAAAAATGTTCCTATTACTCCTATTATTTAGGAAATAACAAGGGTTTTAGGAACTCTGTGTCAGGAACTGGGAGCAGAGATCAAACATATTTCTTATGATGTCACAAGAGGAAGCAAGTAGCTAGGGCAGGGAAGGCATGGGAAGTTCCAGGTAACATCTGAGCTATACTCCAAAGGATGGGGAAGAGTGAGGTCCTGGAGAAAGACTTTCCTGGCAGGGGGGAAAGGGAGGGAGGAGAAGCTGAGCCTTCTATCTGTCTATAGGCATGGTGATTGTGTCCTTTAGAAACTTTTTGGATGGAAATAATAGGGTTAGACAAATAGACAAACAGAGAATTTGTCCATTCATGTAATTTCTAAAAAGTTTAGGGGATCCTGAACTTTGAGTTTAATAAACTGAGTTTGTGATTGGCTTGATCCAGGAGCTCATACAATGTCAAACAATCTCTTCATCCCTCAGTTCCGGTCTTCTTCACGTTGACTT